TCTTTCTTTCTTTCGCGTCGCGTCGTGACGCGATGGACGACGCGACGCGTGTCGCGCTCAGTGGAAACGTACCATAAGATGCGATATAATAAAATATGTAATACGTGAATTATGCAATAATATATTGATTTTGGTATATTTTTATTTAAAAAATATCAGAATATAAATTCAATTAAATGTGCCAACTTCATGCAACAGGGGGTCGATTTTGTATCTTCAATCAAGGTGAAAATTACAAAAGTGAGCAAATTTACTAGGTGTTGACCAATGAAATGATCAGTATTCTATTAAATTCGCTCACTTTTCTAATAGCGTTTTCGGCCCGACCGGGTTTGCACCAACCTGGGTTGGATTAATGGCGTTTTGCGCTCTCCTATTGGTAGAGCGTGTGACATCAACCAATAGGAAAGATTAATCCAATCCAGGTTGGTGCAAACCCGATCGGGCCGAAAACGCTATAATTTTCACCTTGTTTTAAGATATAGAATCGACTCTCTGGGGCTCTATTCTTGAAAAGCAACGTATACGATAGTCTAGGGAAATGCTACAGTATATGTTACGTATACTATAGTATTTTCCTAGATTTTCGTATACGTTTCTTTTCAAGAATAGAGCTCCTGGACTTTGCATATCAAGTGCAGAAAGTGTTAAGCGGAGAACACAGACTCTTGCATAACGCATAACACGTAATGCATACGAATATGTACCAATCGAAGTTCTCCGTTTCTTTCCCTTCCATGTAATAGAGAACTCTGGTTGGTTCAATTTCTTATGCCTCATGTGTTATGCGTTATGCAAGAGTCTGTGCTCCCCGCTTAACAATGCAGGGGCTCTATTCTTGAAAAAAAAAAACCGTATACCAAAGTCTAGGGCAATGCTACAGTATACGTTACGTATATTATAGTATTTCCCTAGACTTTCGTATACGTTTCTTTTCAAGAATAGAGCCCTAGCTACGAAGAACAGAATATATCCCTTTGATGGCGGGACGAGTGTCAACATGGGTGCGTTCCATTTCTCGCATGATGCGCATAAAGGTAAATTTTCACGAGCTGCTCTAACCGGCTATTTTAGCGACAAAAAGGATCACGTGATCAAAATGGACATTTGATATTCGTCAATTTTGACCACGTGATTCTTTTTGTCGCTGAAACAGCCGGTTTGAGCAGCCCGTGAAAATTTACCTTAATGCATCGTTTATCCTTGTTGCTTACCAAATGTTAAACAAATACAATGGATGCATCATGCGCAATACGTAAGGCGTCGTCTACAATACACGGAGTAAGAAGTAAGAATAAGAAATTGACCAATCACAGTCGAAAGGCCCGTCTACAATACACGGAGTAAGAAGTAAGAGTAAGAAATTGACCAATCACAGTCGATTATTCTTCTCACATTCGACTGTGATTGGTCAATTTCTTACTCTTACTTCTTACTCCGTGTATTGTAGACGACGCCTTACGCACCTATTGTCAACCGTCAACATTGACTACGTTTACACGGCACGCTTTACCCCAGATCTACAATAGATTTTTAAGCCTTAAGCCTTAAGGAATGAACGAATCGCAATCAATTATTCTCCTCGTATTCGAATGTAGTTGGTCAATTTCTTGCGGCTTAAAGCTTAAAACATCTATTGTAGATCCGGACTAATGCCTCCGACACACCAGCGCGATATTCGTCGCGCGCGACACGCGATATCCAATGAGTGTACAGCTTTACCGATGTTCTCATTCTAAAGGTATACTCTCATTGGATATCGCGTGTCGCGCGCGACGAACATCGCGCTGGTGTGCCGGGCCATTACGCCGAAGTTATACATCGATGTTATGAAACTGGCCAATCACAGCTGTTCCTTTGAAGAATGGAATGACTGTGATTAGTCAGTTTCATAACATCGATGTTATAACTTTGGCGTAAAGCGTGCCGTGTAAACGAAGTTATTGTCAACTGTCAACCGCATTTTTCAAATCGTCTCGACAGTTTTGACGGAGTTAATAGCGCTTGACGATTTCATTAATTCCGATGGTGTAAACGACCAATCTGATCCTTACAATTAATCTAACGTACTTCTAGAAATTTTGTGTATGTGCGCTGTAAGAGTCAAACTGAAATTGAATCTTGGTGTGATGTGAATTTCACTGATAACTCCTTTGAATTAGAGAACGAAGCAAAGCGTCGTTTTTCTTTTTTACAGTGCAATTTTCGGGTAAAATACTTTATCATTTATTCAAAACACTTCACTTTTTATAAAGTAAAGTGTTTCAATTATATTACATGTATTCTAAGATGCTCTTGTTTGTTTTCTAAACAGGCATGAAGGTCTTAGGGATGCGACATCAGATGTGAGGACCCAACTATATGTATATAGAAATGGGCAAGTGTTCCGTGCTTTATTATTGGAAACCTGAACACCGATTTATAATCAATTTTTATATTTAAGATTGTCTTAAGTACAATAGTACAATCTTAAGATGTCAATCCAATCATAGACCAATATTCATAGTTTGTTATTTCAAGTCTGTGTTAAGCAATGTCTTAAAATGTTAATATGGCTTTCTGATTGGTTCATGACATCCTAAAATTGTTTTAAATGTAGTAGTAAATAAATATATTTAAGACTTAAGATAATCTTAAATATATAAGAATCTATTATGAATACTGACTACAGAGAGAGCTGCATTAGTATTTTAAGATATTACTTAACAAAACAATTTTAAAACAAGAATATAAATTGGACCTTGGATCCTTTTCCAAAAAAATTATTCTAAATTGGAAGTACTTTGTACAGTTATCTATAATGTTGTTTGTTCTGAATTCAGATGATCTTGAGCAACAATGTGAAGATGTGGTATTTGAGTTGTGTGACGCTAGAGAGAGATATCCATTGCTGTGTGCAAAGGAGCTTGAGAAGTTCATCAAGCTCACCAATGAAATACATGTAAGTAATCTTCAGAACTGATAATTATTATTTTACTTTTTATTTATCTATATTTGTCATTAGTGTGATTTGTTACAGATGATGAAGGTTCTTGTAAAGCCAGTAAAAATTCTGGATGTTCCATCTTTCACAAATGAGCACTCAGCAATGCTTAAAAAAAATTTCTTGGAGACCACTGAATTATTGAAGACGCAAGAACATAAATTGCAAGTGATGATAGATAAAATTAATAACTTGACGGTAACATTAGATCAGATTAAAAGAGACAAGTTATCTGATATGAATAAGTTATTATGGAATTAGCTGCATTTTTTCTCAATGTAATATCTATCTACCTCTCACATTATACATTTATCACTGTATATATTGTGTATCAATTGTGTAAATATATACAGGGTGTCCCAAAATTCGAGGGTAATAGTATTGCAATGTGAACTTTCATGCAAAAATAAGGAATAAAGGTGTAAGACATTTTTTTCCATAAAGTAGTTTTTTTAAGTATAAACATTTGAAATTTGAGTAATCATAAGTGTTGGTTAAAAAGTCATCTGTCCTTGTAACATGCGTGCAATAATATTAGATATTAAACAAAACATAGCTGTTGTACGCACACTATCATTTATTTCTATTTTCTATAAAGAAATAATTAAATCAATATATATATCTGCATTATAAATTATTAAGTACAAAGGTGTGTATTAAATAAACAAAATTTGTATTTTATAAAATGTGTAATTATTATATGTATGTGTCCGCGCGCGCGCGCGCGCGTGTAGGAATTTAATTTAAACCTGCATTATATTCTCTGGTGTTGTTTCCTAGGCAACGGATCTAGCCTCGTGTCAAAACAATACCCATGAATGCATGCTGATAGCCACATGTAGTACATATATGTATACTACACTATATCATGAAATGGTACTAATTAGCTGTTAAAGTTTCGTAGTGCTATTATAATTTTCGCTATGTCTACGTTCATAGAAAATGTGCACATAAAGGATGGAGAATATACTAAGATGATATATGTAATGGTATACAAAATAAACTGTTTATACACATATATATACATTAAACAATTTTTTTAATAAATATAAAGTCAAATAAATAAGAAACAGGATAGTTTTTAAATATTTTTGCCTTGTTAATTTTTATAATTTTCGAGTTACAAAGTAAACGTGGTTCCAATAAAAAATATTGTGTTGTTTATAATTTTCGAAAACGAAGAAATATAATTAAATACGAGTATAAATGTAAAGAAATAAATAATGAAATATTGTGTTCCAGATAAGAGAACAACGATATACTGAATGTATTAAAGTCTTGTTAAACCTTTTAGATTCTCATCCTGATGTACGTATGCTGCAATGTAATATTGTGTTCTTCAATTTATGTAAACGCTAATACTGAATAAAGCGTTCTTTCAGTCTAGACCTTGTTTATCCCTTCTGGCCCATTGTTACTTTTACACACAAGATTTCATGGCCGCAGCTGAATGTTACGAGAAGCTGGTTCAACTGTGTCCACAGGAGAATCTGTATAAGCTTTACTATGCTCAGTCCTTGCATCAAGCTTGCATGTATCCAGAAGCATGGACTATTTGTTCGACCATTATCAATCAAAGTAATTTGGAATTCAAGGTAAAGAAGCTGCAGGCAGCTATAAAGTATGGACAGGAAGACATGGTAGCTGCAAAAAATCTCGTGGATCAATGTCCTGCCGATGACGTTGATACTGAAATCAATCTGGGATGTCTCTTGTATAAGGTACAGATATCAGTAATACTCTCCACTAAACACCTATAGTAACATAACATCAATGTTATAATTTTACACTCAATAACAATTATATAAATATAATATAACACATGCTGTATATAACAGTTACATTATTGACTGTGAAATAAAATTGACGTTATATTACTCTTAGTTGTTTACTATCAGTTGAGCGTTATTGATTGATGTATATGCACGATTATGTTTCTAGGAGGAAAAGTACGAACAGGCCCTCAAAAAATTTTCGAACGCGTTACAAATTGCAGGATTTAAGCCTCACTTATCATATAACGTTGCCCTTTGCTACTTCAAACTGAAAGAGTATGCAGCATCCCTGAAACATATTGCCACTATTATCGAGCACGGTATAAGGGAGCATCCAGAGTTGAGCGTAGGAATGGCTACCGAGGGTATTGAAGTTCGAAGTGTCGGGAATACGTTGACGCTGCACGAGACAGCTCTGACGGAAGCGTTCAATCTGAAAGCCGCCATCGAGTACCAATTGCAAAATTGTAATTTCGCGTCGCTGCCCTTTTAGAAAGGTCTTTTTACAGTTTTGCTCAATATTACAGATGACGCGGCGAAGGAAGCGTTAACGGACATGCCACCGCGTTCCGAGGAGGAGCTCGACGCCGTTACTTTACACAATCAGGCGTTAATAAATATGGACACAAAACCGAGTGAAGGATTCGAGAAACTGCAGTTTCTGCTGCAGCAAAACCCGTTTCCACCCGAGACCTTCGCCAACTTGTTACTCCTATACTGTAAATATCAGTATTATGATCTCGCCGCCGATGTCTTGGCTGAAAATGTACATTTGACTTACAAGTATCTGACGCCAGTAAGTTTAATTCTTAATCGGTCATTTTTATTAGTCAGACTTCAATTTGAGCATTTGAAACAATTTACAGCCTTATTATTTTATATACAAGCTATATGCAACACAAGGTATACTCAAATTAAATTATAACTAAAAAAAAAGACAGGAACAATTATTATGAATGTTTGGTTTTCGAATGTTTGCATTTTTTGGTACGAGTTTCGTGATCGTCTGAGTGTTTCCGTTTGTGAGACTTTGCGTCGTCAGATGATGAACTATCGGAGGAGTCACTTGAACTGCTGCTGTATTTCTTTCTATGCTTCTTGCGTTCTTTAGAAAATTTCCTTTTCTTTTTCTTGCTCCTCTCTTTGTCTTCTGTATCACTGTCATCAATAGACTGTTTACTCCTCTTTGACTTTTTCTTCTTTTTTTTTGATTTATGCTTTTTCTCTATCTTTTTCTCAGCATTCTTACTGTCTGGTTCCGGGACAGTCTCTAAGTCTTCGACTTCTGGAATCAGTTCATATTTCTTGCCATCGGGAGACATGAAGCAATCCTTGGACAAGTGTCCTCTGGTCCCACACTTGGTACATGTAGTATTCAGTACCGCTTCCAACTGTATGGCTTTATGCTGAGTTGTTCCTGGATTTTTTTTCCGTTGCGCATCTCTTTGCAGTTCCACGCCGTTGGGGTCCAGGTCCGTGCCATTTCCTTGATTCACGTGTTTCATAGACAGCCCTATCTTGCCGTCTTCCCCAACCGAGATCACCTTACACCAGACCCGTTCACCCTTTTGTAAGACTTCTGCAACATTGTCGACATGAGCCGTGCTTACCTGACAAGAATTGCATAAAAATCAATGGATTATGTTACAGCAAAGATTATTGTTACTAGTATTTATTATATGAGTCTAATAATACACACCTGTGATCGGTGTATTAAGCCTTGCTGCGAGGTACCTGGTATTCTGACGAAGGCTCCGTAATTTTGCACGGACGCGACTTCACCCAGAAATATTTGATTCAGTTCGCACTTCGTCATTTTTAATTTCTCGTCGAAGGAACATCTGTATGCGAGTGATGACGTTTCAACAAGTGTAAAATCAATAAAAAGAAAAATTGCGCTATAGGTTAGAGTTCTATCAACAAACAGGGCCGTAATATCGATATGTCCGCAACAGTTAGGGGACGTTCTTTATTATTTTTTAATGAGATAATTGAAGTTTTAATTAAAGTATTTACAAATACGTTAAAATTCATAGAACAATGCAACAAAAGTATGTGGTATATAAAATGTATTAATAGTAGATATTTTGCAAAAATAAAAATTAGCAAAAATAAAAATTCTTAAATAGATTCTGATTACAATTTTTTATATGTAATATTCTAATATATATATTTATTTAATATAATAGTCTATTTAATTTAGAAAATACCAGGGTAACAAAAATATGATATAAAACGATGTTAACTTGTATTTATAATATAAATAAATATATAGGTCCTCTCAGGAGCTAGATAGTAAAATTTGCTGTTTTTAAAAGAAGTTTTAAAATTTATAACTACAATCTTGGCCAAAAGTATTAGACACATTATTTAAAGTTTTAGTTTAAACATTGATTTATGACATTTGCTGTAAATTATCCATTGCTTCAAGAATCCTTTAAACTTATGTGTAATGCCGATAATAATCAATAGAAACAATGCAGATAAAATAAGAATTTCGGATAAATAGAAAACTCTAAATATCTAACATTTTAGATAGCTAAACTTGTATACAAAAAACTTAAATTTATAAATAATGGGCTGTTATGAATAAAATAAAATTATCAAAAATGAGATTGTGAAATATAAATAAATTAATAATTCCATTTATGGATTAATAAGATATTCTGCAAAAATAGAGTTCACTTTGGAAAAATTTTTAAACAAATTTTGATTAAAGAATTTGATATATTCATGGTATACAATAATGTTTTACTTATTGCTAGTATTAGAATTATTTTTAAATTTGCATTATTTTTCCAGTATTTATACGACTTCTTGGACGCGCTAATAACGCAACAAACTTCGCCGGAGGAGGCATATCGCAAATTCGATGATATCGCTAACAAGCATACGGAAGCGCTTCGCAAAGCGACCAAGCAGGTCCAGGAGGCGAGGCTGAATCACGACGATAATGCCGTGAAAAAAGCTGTAAACGATTATGAGGAAGCCCTCGACAGATACGTTCCCGTATTAATGGCGCAGGCGAAGATCTACTGGGACCTGGAGAATTACACCCAAGTGGAGAAGATCTTTAAGAAGAGCGTCGAGTTCTGCAACGATAACGACGTGTGGAAGCTGAACGTGGCGCACACGCTCTTTATGCAGGAGAATAAATTTAAGGACTCGACACGCTTCTATGAACCGATCGTCAAGAAGAAATATGACAGTGTTAGCAAAGACTATTTCTCTACGTAGAACACAAAGTCATAATAAGATCAAATAGAGGTCATTTTGAAAAAAATATGATGTCATTTGGTATTTTTGATGATGATCTCGTGATGAATTCTGATTTCTCTAATAATATGTTATTTATAGGGAGTGATTTTGTTTTTTTCTGTTTGCCATAATCTGACGCTTGCAATCTATTTGCAGATCCTGGACGTGAGCGCTATAGTCCTTGCGAACCTCTGCGTCAGCTACATCATGACCTCGCAAAACGCAGAGGCCGAAGAGCTGATGAAGAAGATTGAGAAAGAGGAAGAGGCAGTGTCGTTTGAAGATCAAGACAAGAAACTCTTTCACTTGTGCATCGTGAATCTGGTAATCGGGACACTGTACTGTTCCAAGGGTAATTACGAGTTCGGCATATCGCGAGTGATGAAGAGCCTGGAGCCCTACAATAAAAAACTTGGCACTGACACCTGGTTCTATGCAAAAAGATGCTTTTTATCGCTCCTGGAGCAATTGGCAAAACAGTTAGTGGTCCTGAAAGATTCCACATTACAGGAATGTATTCAATTTTTAGAGCATTGCGAAGGTACATAACTTTCAATTAACTTGTAAAGTATTATTTGTAATATTTTGTTAATATTACAAACGAGTGGAATTATTGACTTCTTGTTGTTTGACATGGAAGAGAAAAAGGGATGGATCGTATTAACAATTTAGAAATTGTTAATACTAGTCAAAAACTAATCATCACCCAACCGACACCAACTAAAAGTGATACAACATCAATGATATAATTTTGCATTTAACAATTATAGCAATATAAATCTTGATTATATAATACCTGAGTTACGTTTTGATAAACGCTGTTAGCACTATTTATATCATTTTATCTTTAGCATTCATTAAATATAAAGAAAAATAAAGATAGAATGACATAAATAAATGTTAACAACGTTAGTGCTGTCCATGATGTTACATAACAGTTACAGTTGTTGAGCGTGAAATTATAACATTGATGTTATAAATTTATGTTGCTTTTAATTGGTGTCGATTGGACGATTAACTTAGCAAAAGTTCGGCTGATCTTGTAAATTTTAAATGACGGACTTATATTTGTGTGCTTCTCTATCTGAAATTTCAGTTTATGGCAAGGACATAATGACGGTGATCGACCAGCCGTTCGACATACAGGACATGCTGAACATTTCACCTCAGGGCAAACGGACGGTTGTTTACGAGGCGCGATACCTCAAGGCATTATTTTTAAAATTGCAAATGTCTTAGATTTATAATTAGATGCATAAAGAAAGATGTTTATATATATTGTACATTTTGTCTTATATAATTATTTTAATTAGCATAATATTAGGAAGAATAATTTATAGTGCTACGAACTACCAAATTCAAATAGCTGTAATTTTGCTGTAACTCAAAATGAATGAAATTTAAATAAAAAAAAAAGTTTTAAAACTTAAAATCTCTGCTTTTGAAAGATCGCTATCTTTTGAGTTTCTATGAGTTTGATAATTTTTATAACGTATAGAAAACTACAATTACTAATAACGTTTTCGACCCGAACGGATTTGCTTCCATTTTGGGTTGGATAATGATATACTATTGGTTGACGTTATATATTCCACCAATAGGAGAGCATACAACGTCATGGGGTGATCCCGATTGACCACGGCTCGATTGGACACCACCAATCACAGCGACCGGTGCTTAGGAGCTTTGTAGTCTCAAACGCTGTGAGTGGCTCGTGTCCAATTGAGCCGTGTCCAACTTGGTGCCACCCCAACGTCATTAATTCAACCTAGAGTCCTAGAATTATCAGAGAGGCGCACTACGTTTACACGGCACGCTTAACACGGCATTAACACAGCGACAAAATAAGAAATTTATTAACTTTATTACTAACTTTATATTAATCACAATAAAATACTACCAATTAATTATTCGACGAGTTGAAATTACTTGAGCGCGTTTTCTCTCTGCTGCGGTTCAACAGACTCAAATGACTCAACAGTTAAGTAAACACTCGCTATTACTGGTGTATTCTTTTAGATAATTTAATCAGATTATAAATCTAGAAGAATATATCAATAGCAGTGAGCGCTCGCTCAACAGTAAAACAGTTGAGTCCGCTGAACGTAGCCATTGGCTGCGTTCAGTAGAGAAAGCAGCTTTGCAACTGTTGTAAAATTCTTCAATATGATTGGTCTTGCCCTTAGTTCCTTATTGGATCTAAATGTATAAACCAATCATATTAAAGAATTTTACAGTTGCGAAGCTGCTTTTTCTGCTGAACGCAATCATTGGTTGTCTCTTTCAAATCTAGCGGGTGATCTTAATTTACTCGCACGTCCACACGTATCGTAACCGTCGCGATGTTGCGATGCCACGTCATGTTCGATCTCTTCGTCATCGACCTCGATGACACCCTTGCATTCTCCTCCGCGAAAGTGTAGACAAGTGCAGGTCCGAAAATCGTCGATCATCGTTGGTCATCGGTTTCTATCGCCGTGTGAGATATATAAAGAAGGTACACGTGCCTGATTTCATCAGTGCTGAGACTGCTGAGTGTATGCGATCATCGTGGGTGAGATTGGTTTGTCGGAGTCACTGTCAAATGCTGCCCTGTCTGTTATCGAAAATTTTAGTGACGTACAATCGTAATTTGAGCGATTAATCACGTACGTGCTTAAAGACTCTTGTGTTACGTCGGCGATAGAGAGAGAGAAAGAGAAAGAGAGAGAGAGAGAGAGAGAGAGGAGGAAAACGTGCAGCGTCTACAATCTCGTAGCTCTTCATTTTGGCTGAGTCAAGGTACGTCGTCATTACAAAATTTATCGTGACAATTGCGTGATCTTCTCGTGTCTGTTATTTCCACGTCAACGTTTAGCCTCACGTACAATGTACGTTTGATCTTGAGTTTTTATGATCGGATTTGTAGTATTTCATCGAGAAAATTCTTTGTTTGACAGCGAGAACGATTGGTGTGGAGTGATGTGACGACTAATTGTATCAAAGACTGTAATTGTTTTAAAACACGGAGAAAAATATATCGATATGGCCTGATTTCATAATATATGGTTATCTAAAGATTAAAGGTAACCAAGAAGTTCATGAATGAATTTCATTGATGAATTTGTTGGTAACCTTTAATCTTTATTTAGGTAACCATGTATTGTGAAAATGGGCCTAAGAAGTGTTAAATCGTCCTTGCTTAAGATTGATTATGGCTGCTTTCCTTTCAGGAGACATAATAGATACAAATTAATCTCCTAATTGATAATGTCATTCCATCATTGAATTCTTTCCAGCAAAAGTTACAAATAATACAAGATGCTTTCTAGCAAGAAACACAGATGACACAGTGACTCATTATATCCTTATTGTTCGTCATTGTTAAGCATAGTTGAAGTAATCACTGTGTTATGCTATATCTCTCGATGAAAAGCATCACTTCTTGGCATTCAATGAATAACAAGGATAAAACGACTAGTGTGTTGATTTCCTAAAAGAAAAGCAGTCTAAGATTGTTTGAGATTGATTTTTTTATAACAGACTATTTTCAATACCATTTTCTATCTCTTAGAATAAAATCGTCAATCGGACTGATTAATGGATTATGCATTTTCATTGTCAAAGAGGATGCAATTGTAATTCTGATTTTGTCAAATTATTTTTGCAGTGATCTGGTGAAGAACAGTACAACGTGATCAAAATGGAATTTCCAAATTTGGGAGAACATTGCTCTGAGAGCACATGTAACCGCTTGGATTTTTTACCTCTGAAGTGCGACGCTTGCCAGGGAATCTTTTGCACAGATCATATAACTTATACAAGTCACAGCTGCCCCAGCGCGTACAAGAAGAATATACAGGTGCCTGTGTGTCCATTGTGCGATGTTCCTATACCAATAAAGCGCGGCGATCTGCCCGACGTAGCCGTAGGATTGCATATAGATAATGACTGTAGAGAAAGCCATAGGAAGGTATTCTCCAACAAGTGTTCTTCAAAGGGGTGCAAAGTCAAAGAAATGGTGCCGGTGAAATGTAACGAATGTGGTGCCAATTTTTGCCTCAAGCACAGACATCCCACCGATCACGCTTGTATCGGAGCGGAGGAGGCATTGAGACTACGTAGGTTGGAAACACTAAACAAGAAAAGTCAAACGACAATATCACCGAATAGTAGCAACAGCAATTCGCATCCATTCCGAAGCCTTCAAGGAACGATGACCGAGGATGAAGCATTAGCTAGAGCTCTCCAAGCTTCCTTAGAGGATGAAGAGAGAAGCAGACGTATGTTACAACCAGTGCCTTCTGGAAACCGAGATAGATGTAGACTTTCGTAACTATCTACACATTATTTTATACCGTTATAGAAAAAAAGCTTCTTCCTTGTTTCCTAAAAATCTATGGATATATAAAGATATGTATTACGATCCTCTTAAAGTTACCGCCAAACTATATATAATTTGTGATTCGAAACTCGCAGTTTATAAGTAGTGTGAATGGACAAATTCACCGAATTCGCATTTGTTGTTTATCATTCAATTCATGGAGCGGGTTTTTAAAAACAAAATTAAGAGATACAAATTATTACGAATCTGTTGATGTTGATTCATATATAGTTACACTATACAAACAATAAATCACTAATTGTAAATCATGAATCGCTTATAATTCGGCGCTAGCTCAAAGGATACACTTACTTGACAACACGTACAACGGAAGTTACTTAAGTATATTTATTACTCTATCCATTTTTTATCTGTTATGTATTGTTATAGTTACAACTGCTGCTATATAACCAGCTGTTGCGTTTATATGCATAGAAATTAAAATGTATTTATATAAAATTGCTCACGTAATTAAGCACACTATCACAGCATCTTATGGGATTCCTAAACAAAATTGTATATCAAAGTATTTATTTTAAAAAAGTTATATAAATCATTAGATAAAATCTTATGTTAAGTTGCAAGTACAAATTGTTGATAACAAGGTTTCCTTTATATCAAATGTGTGAATCGTCTCATATACTTCATTTAGATTATAAACTCTGGCTTACAACCAGGAAATATATTCTGCCGAAAATAAAACAATTCTGATAATATATTACATGATAAAGCTTCAGTATAGAGTGCCTTAGTAGACGAAGCATAATCTTATTATGCATTAGAATACGCACTTATACAAAAAATCAATTTAATTTAATTAAAAAAAAACAATTTTAATTTACACTTATTAATATTTATAATCGACTTGCTGTAGAAAATGCTTTCAAACAGTGGCTACACGTACAGATTTTCATATGATATATAAAAATACATACCTGGATTTAATATTATTTTCAACAAGATATTAAATCGTTTATTATGAATTAATAAAAATATCACGTATACAAGAAAATAATATTACAATTTACGTATTTCTTATTAATGGGATTTTAAAATAATATTACAATTTTTACGTATTTCTTATTAATAGGATTTTAACAAATAATATAAAATAAGTATTGAGTTTTAGTGCAATATCAAAAACTGTGATGGCAGGAAGAAATCGCGTATATTGTACGATATTTAGGCGTGTTCATATTATAACTTAAGTCTCAAAATAGAAATCACGCGTTTGAACATATCACGTCACAGGCTTCTTAAAATAAAAATTCCTCAAAATATCACCAAAATGAATAAATAAATAAATAAATATATAGACTTTATACTAAAGATGCTGCATTGACAAAACTGATATTCATAAATTCTGTGATAACTATCATATTTTTATAAATATATATAATTTTAGAATATACTCAGTTCCCCTTAATTTACTTCATTCCTTTGGAAATGTAGAATAAACATTTTCTTTAAAAAAAAATGGAGAATTTCAATATATATATATATATATATAATATTGATAAATATATCTATGATATGCATTGACAATTGATAAATATAGTCAACAAAGATGTATGCTTTATGCTTGCCACGATACATATGTATATTTACCAATGAATAATATGCTTTTAATATTGAAGACTTGAAAATAATACAATTCTTGATAATATGTAAATACAAGTACGCTTTTTACTACTTTCAAAGGTTTGTTAGTACTGTTACAATATATATATATACTCGCCTATGACGTGGCAGAACTACTGAAAAGTATAAAAGGAACGTTTATTATCTTTTTGCAGTTATTACATTTTAGATAGAAAATCTTTTTAACACACAACATAAATAAATTTCATAATTTTATGACTTATATACTCTCTCTCTCTCTCTTTCCTAAAAAATACTTTAATTGAAATATACAAAAATATACTGTTTTTCAGTATTTCTGAAACGTTCGAAATATGTAAGACGAAATGATTTATTATACATTCCTAATATATACATATATCCATGTATCTTCTTATACATATTACAATAATTTACTTTTAATGGATTCTCTGATATTATAAATATATTTAAAAAATAGATAATCAAAGCAAGGAGATGACAAGCAGATAATTTCACAAGCGTGTATATACACGTTTATAAAAGAGCTCCTTTATTGTGTTATTATATAATTCATAATTTATTTTCTATTCATATATGCTGTATAAAATTATGTTCTAACGATTATGCGACCAATAACATATAACTTTTCCAATAATTTTTTTTAAATTCTACGAGAATGTATCAGATTCAAAAATATTCATATATATATATAGAATAGATTTTTCCTAATAAAGTGTTCAATAGTAAGAGGCAGTTACTTTTCATTTTTCCTCTAAATACGTTTTCAGAATTTTAATTATTATTTAGGCACGTATTACAGCTACAGACATATATTAATATAAATCAATTTAAATAGATGACCAAATAATAAAAAAAAATAAATTAATTTTAGCAAACAAATCCAAAACAGCTTGTACATTCGATATATTTATTATATATTAAAAACATTGATATTTGTAATTTTAAATAATGTTTTTCCACAAATACAATGAAATTATATATTATAGATTACTTGGTATTTGTAATAACTCGAAACAAAATTTTTATAAGAAATATTTAACATATATCAAAAATTAAAACAAGAAATCGGAATTAAATTATATAAATGAGCAATTTTTAACGTGACCAACAATTTTTATTATTCATATTAGAACATAGTGTTCTAATATGAATAATAAAAATTGTTAGTTACGTTGATCCAAAAAATTGCTTATTTATTTTTATTAGACCTGGGTTGGATTTAATCAATTTATTTGTATAATATATGAGCGGCATTGAAAGGAATTTAATACTTAATACTTTATATTTGATAGGTTTCTAATATTTACGTATAAATTAACAGCATGATTTTAACATACTGACTGTTTTTTGTTACACTAGTAAATCCATGCATAACATATATTATACAAGAGAGAATGTAACACATTTGCATTTTTTTGCAAAGACGAGATATATTTACAGATTTAGCATAAAGTAAAAATAAATTAACATTTACATTAGAAAATCAAAGATATTAATTTTCTAGTACAAATGCTTTTTGAAATTGCTTTGAGATGTGTACGCATTAAATATTCTGCTAATCTAATGTAGTTTATATTCTTTGTATTAAAAAAATCTAAACAAGCTATTTATGAATCTATGCCATTTTTATTTTTCTGGAATATAAAATATGACCATTTATCTACCAACTTTTCCTAATTTGGTGTCCGTTTTTGGATTAGCCGTTATATTTTGCACAGCGACTATCGTCTCATTAATCTTTGTCTGAAGATTCCTGAGGTCTTGAATGTATAACAAGGCAAGACCTTTGGCGGCGTTGTCTAACATCCCGTCGCCCATATTAAAGCTAGGTCCTATTATTGTCTTTGTCAGAGATTTATTTTTGGCATACGCGGCACTATTAGATTGTTTAATCACATCCGTGTTCAACTTGTTGCACACGAGTTTGCTGCACGCTTGTAGTGTTACAAGATGATCAGAATGTTTCGGTACGTTCAGTAACTTGGCAATCGAATTAACTCCGTTCTTGAAAGCATCACTGTTAACTGAAAAAAAATTAAGAAATGCGAGATTTAGATATTTTCACATATGACATCCCTATGTCAAGTATTGCACAATGCAGCGTAAGATATACTTACAATCTAAATTATCTAGGGGATTCGTGGATTTGATACTAGGCACTTTCACCTCTTTTTTCACATCTTTTGCCTTACTTCCTACAATTTGTTGATATTTTTGACCTAAAATAAATTATATGTTTCATTACATTTATTATTATTTATTGATTAGGCAACTAATAATTAGGTATTCAAATTCTTATGAAACTTTACACAAATGATTCTAACAAGGCAACTTAGTGAAGGGTCAAATTATGATTTTAATGAAACTATACGCATAAAAGTTACATAAATATATGAATTTAGAAAATATCATTTGTGTCCAAATAAACGGTTTTAAGAAATAAAATTATAGTTCATATATAAAGTTTCCAGCTTTTTTTATATCAAAAATTATTCAAGATGTCAAAAAATGTTTTATAATGAAATTATCTCTATTTATTTATATTAATACTTTGAAAAAATAATTTTGGAAAAAAATATATATATTATTTTTAAAAAATATTGACATGAATATTATTTTATTATAAAACTTTTGTATAAAACATTTTTTGGAGGAAAAATTTCCTTCCTTGAAATCGTTTATTTGTTGCAACTAATATTTTCTGAATTTATCCGTTATATAATCTGTAAATATAGCAAGTTTGATTAATGCCCAATTTCTTCACTTTCAGATAAGTTGCGAATAACCTTATCCAGGAGATATCTCCATTGTATTCTGGGAGATATCTCTTGGATAAAGTTATCTAGAGGTGAAGAAATTGGGCACAAAAGCAGAATTTGATATTTCACGAAGTTTCTTTGTATAAGAAAATATTTTACACATTCTATAATTAGAGCCATTACTTAAGCTTCAAGTTTTACTTAAGCCGTAAAAAATTAACTAGTCACAGTCAAATGTGAGAAGAATAATCGACTGTGATCAATTTCTTATGGCTTAAGACTTAAAGCTTAGGTAATAGCTTATTGTAGAAAGCCATTAAAGCATTAATTGTTTCAAATAAATCTTACAGTCATCTCCAAACTCTAGCCAAATAGCATATCCTATAAACCATTCTAATTGATCAATCTCGTTCTTAGTTATTGGGCAGTCAACATCATTGCAATACTTTTCGAAAGTTTTTGGCCATTCCGAGGATGTAATGTCCCTCAACTTCTGACGGTCCTCTATAGTATAATGACGTATCTTTTGATCTTCCAACCACACAATCACCTTTCTGAAGTGCTGAGTATCTGAAACATTATAATATTGTATCAACATTATAGTACTAGTTTAGGGACACGGTTGACATGAACGTTTTATCTTTGTTATTCATTGAATGTTAAGGAAAATAAAACAACGTTCGTGTTGACTGCATCTCCTAAAAGAAAAATAGTTCACCTACAGTCTTAAGATGTCATAAATCAATCATAAGCCAATATTCACAGGTTGTTCTTATTTCAAGTATATAATACAACTTTTGTGATTGGCTTACATCTTAAAATTGCACTTAAAACAGTCCTAAAAAATCGGCAATGAATACTATTTTATGAATACCAGCCATAGAACTGTATTAGCATCTTAAGAAATTATTTAAGACGGTTTTGTAATAAAAATGGACTGTGAATATCGTTTATATAAGTAGGTGCCTGCACCGTCCAAGGATTACATTGCGCAAAGTGACTTAAGACTTGCAACTGTATTTATATTAATATATTTCCCGATTTTTAATGAATTTATATAGGTTATAACATGTGTCAGATAATCGCTCACTATTTCCGTTGACTTTGTCCCATTCCAAGTAACCAAGTGCCTTTAATTTTCTCTCGAACATTATTAATTATTCGCGTAGGAAAATCGACAAATGTGCTGCTCTCGCAGAAAAGTCCTCGTGAGGTGAAAAATCGTGGGGAACCGAATCAAAGTCGACTCGTCTTGATTTGTCTCCAATTGTTGTAGCGGGTTCGGCCAGGTTCGGCAAGATGCTCTTATTTTTCCGTAGTGGCGTAACTGGCGGGTGCTAGCACTGCTAGCATGGATTTGGAATATTTGGATACGCAAGGCGGTCAAAAGGGGGCGGGGCACGCGGCGCGAGCAGGTGGTACGCTCGTCTATCCGTCGCTCGTTTCTTCGGTTTCTCGCTGGTGCCATCCGCGACTGCGAGACACGAGAGTGTGAGAGGGTGCGAGAGCGAGAGCTGTGCGAGCTGTGAGAGTTGCGCGTGCGGACGTGCGCAACGGCAACGGCACTCGCGTCCAGGAATCGTGTGGATCGCGGAGGCCAGAGCGGGGCGAGTGGGGCAGCGGACGACAATGATGGCGGCCACCAGCGATGAACGGAGTGTTATGGAGCCTGGGAAAACGAATTCGGGGCAGAGCCAGCCCATAGACCGGCTAAAACTGCTCTATCCTACGGTGGACGAGGAGAAGACGCCGTTGCCGCGTTCCTGGAGCACCAAGGACAAGTACAGCTACATAGGCCTGTCGCAAAACAATCTTCGCGTTCACTACAAAGGTACGTGGGTAGCCCGTCAGCGCGCGACCTCCGCGCACGCGAGACGATGCGCTTCCTTCGTCGCGCGGACACGCGTGTGCGCGTCCTCGGTACGGACCTTCGCGCTGCGCCGCGCCGCGGGCCATCCGGACGCCCGTTCCCAGCCTCGTGCCTCTGCCGTGTCGCCCCGCGATCGGGCTGCTCCCGGGCCAGGCACGGTCGATCGATTGAAAATGGCAGGGCGCTATTTCAGCGTGTGTCAGCGACCTAAACAAAGGAATCAGCTGATCAGTCAGCCAGTCCCCCGCGGTCGAGTCTTTCCGCGTCGCCCTCGTCCTTGCCCTCGCCCTCGCCCTCGTCTGTTCTCGTCGATGCGATGACACCTTCCTCGTCACCGCGGTCAATCCTCGCGGTGCCTCCTCCTGCAGGACGCTCGTCGATTTCTGTCGACGCGTCTGCTAGGGAAAAGAAATGTCAGAGAAAGAGGGGGAGGGAGTGAGATAGAGCGATACACGGAGAGAGGAACCGAAAGAGATGGAACATGTGTACGCACAATGTCAATGACAGCTACGTACGTCGACGTGAAAACGATATGTGGACTCGACCCCGCGCCCCGATTCTCGTCGACGTCCCGTGCGGGCTCGTCGCTCGGTCGAATCCTCGCTTCGGAGATCCCCTTCCCCCTCTCCCCCCTCCTCCCGTCCCTCGTTCACATCGAATTTCACGTTGATATACAGGGTGTCCTGTGTTCCATTTCTACACTGAAAAAAATTTTCCATTTGACTAAATTAATTGTATGTATTTAAATCAAATATAATATAAATATCCATACACATTTTTCATAAGAAAAAAAGTAAAGTCAAACTAAATTAATTTAGTCAAACGAACAATTTTTTTTTTATAGTTTGTCAATGTAGATTAGTTTTAATCTCGGTTTAATTTACTCTTTAATATTTTTTTAATTCTTAGAACTAGGAAATAATAAATTAGTTAAAAAAATATTGATAAAAATAAGATAAAAATAAGATTACAGTTACTACGCACTGATAGAAACAGGACATAAAACGTCAACATTCAATATAATAAATTGTTTCTTGAATCTGAGAGGCAAACCATTATTTTTCTCTTTTTTTTACATATAGAAAGATAACTAAATGCACAGGTTTGAGTAGATTTAAATCGCGTTTCGTCGGGATCGCTATATAAACAAAGAACGTTAAGTTGAAGAAGTAAAGCTGCTGCGTCAGCAACTTGATGCGAGACTTGATCGCCGAGATATTCAATGGCGGAAAATGGAGAGCTGCTACACACGATGTTTAGCCACCAGATTATTGCTACGGAACAATCCTCCGTGAATTCCTCCTGTCGGAGGAGGCTGTCGTTAAAGTTCGACGTGATACGGGCGTTTTTCAACGGAGAGCTCAACACTCCGCGCATTCAAATCCCATGAGTTCTCCCTACGGACAAATTTCTTTTCTCGTATCGAGAGCGAACGATGCCAGAAATGGCCGAAGGCCCTTTTTTCTTGCTTCTTTGCGCTCCCCCTTGCTCGTTATATACATGGTGTATCCTCTGGATTCCTGGCGTGTGTGCCGCAAGCTCGGCCGCAACGTAACGTTATATGACGGCAACGACGACGGCACGGAACACGATGCCACTTATCGGCTTCCCTTGGTGCACCGTGCTGTACGGAATAAGAAAAGTTAAAAGGCATTTAAAACGTAAATGTGCTGTATCGGCTTTGGTCGAGCGTGTTCACGCACGACGAACGTGATGTGTTCGTGCAGCGAACGAAAATATTGTTCTCCTTGATCCGGCGCACGAAGATTGTTGAGAGGAAACGAAGCGAAAGAGATAAACAATTGTCGTACGTTTGCTCGGTTACTTCGCGAGCAATTGATACGTCGACGGTATAATCTTAAAGGGTATTTTCTTTCTCTTTTTTTTTCATGCAAGAACTCTTCCTAAGAGACTTTCGTCAGACGATTCCTTTATATTTATTTTGCTAACGAGAACAAATAATAACGATGACATCGTTATGGATTATTTTTACGTGTAAGAATAACGGGTAATTATCTCAAAACTGACTGATATTTACTGTTTATATTCTAATTATATACGCGGGGGGAATAGTGCGTTATAAATTATTTTTAAATAAAGAATAACGCGATGTAGCTGCAAAATGAAAGTTAAATTATGAATGTTTGTTTCAAACATATGCAATTATTACACAGAATAAGGCTCGCTATACACATATATAATTTTTTCTTTACAAAAATCTATCTAATATAGCAAAATGAATTTGCAAAACGAACAGCTATCTATGCATAAAATTCATTAAACATAAAAAATTTATCGGCGTTTGTATCTTCATAATTACCGTTGATCATAAGATAAACATTCGCCGAGTGTGATTAAGCAGTTGCGATCTCTGATAAAATTCTGATTATTATGAATGGAGAGCGTGAGCTGCAAGAAGTTACAATATGCAGCAGACATGAAGCATAATGCATGCAACACTCGACCCTAGCCATGCTGCGCGTCGATAATATCCGTCGCTTGAATCCTTTAATTTAACTTCGATCGTTGCTTCTGAGATTGTAGAGAGCTGCACCACACAGGCAATTTCAGCTTGCAACATAAATATTTCACTTACATCGAAATTCTATTAAAGCAAATTCCATTTGAAATGAATTAACAGAATTTTGTTTGGTTCATGTATTTCTACAGTTAAGGCATATTTATTTGTGATATTTATGTTTGTATTTTCTTTCGCTTCGTCAAAGATCGTTATTCGATAGCTCGACGTTTCTTTTTTAGGAAACATAATACGAATTCAGAATTATTAATCGTCGATAGAAATTTTCATCTTTCATCAGCAATCTGGCTCTTCGAATTTCACTGTAGATTTTTATATTGTTCCGGATTGTATAATAATCTTAAAAAAATTTCTATATATTTGTGAAATTTTAACAAGTTTTTACTATCACTGGAATTGGATTTATTTACTTTTTTATAGACATAAATTTATTCATTAAAATTCACAAAAAAAATTGTGTCTTTAAAATCCCACATTATTAAACAAGTCATATTAGATAAGAGATATATATACAGCGGCATTTCTCTGACGTGCCTGCTAATAGAATAAAATAATTCTACGTACACCGATAATCATGAATCGTAATCATGCACGTTTGGCTGCAATGCATTTCGAGCATCCCTATACTATTTCGTTTCAAAGAGATGAGATGCAATCATTGTGGACCTCGAAGAGCTGTCGAAACACCTGTCATTTACACGCTATTCGTGGTAACAATTTTGGCGAAATTCAATATAAGACTCAACTGTGGCTGTAGGCTGTCCATATCGGCAATCCGCGAATGTATCTGTTTGTAACGAGTGCACGTGGCTTCCCTTGCATGGGAGTGCCTGAGAAAGCGGAAGGCCGTCGTCGTCATTCGCAATAGTGCATCTACCGTTAGCCATCAACTCCTTCCCTTTTTCCTTGCACGTGTCGCTCTTTGATCTCGTAAATACAGACCGATCGGACCTTGTTTTGATCTTCGTCCCACTTTAGACACCATCGTCTTCCAGTTTCTGCGGAGTTTATGAGCTGTCGATCATAAATGTTTGCCATTTTTGCGAAAGTTAACAAATCCAAAAGGCTGTTTTTGTAAACGTTAATTATAGTTAGAGAAGTTAATTAATTTACTCTGTTTTCAAGTACATATCTATATATATATATATATATATAGAATTGTTTAAAGATACAGAATTGTGCCTAAGAAAGATTGCACGTTTAAAAAACGTACTCGTTTCTTTTTAAGTTTATCATTAATTTTTAATATAATCACGTTGTTAGAGCGTGATAATTTATCTAATTATTTAATACCAGAATTAAAAACAAAAGCTTTCCCTTTTTTTATAATGTATAATTAATAAATAAAATAATAGTTTACATTACGCACACGCGCGTGCAGTAATTAATATTTAACTATTCAGATAATAAATAATTTATACCTGAAAACTGACGCATTCATTGGCTTACATATGTATATATTCCGATTCTATACGCGGAATAATGCACATCATTACATATTATTTTACATAAAAAAGTGAAAAGAAATATTTTAATAGTCGAACAAGTAAATACTTTGTATTTCGTTTCGAACTAAATACTGGTTTTAGAGAAATAATTCTTTTCTTTACTAACGCTGATATATTACGTGATACAACAGCGTTGCTGAAGACTGTTGTTTGCATAAAGAATAGGGGATTCTTTATTTTTTTATTCTCTAATACTTTAAGATCCAATTTTTCATTATCTGGTTAACTTGTGGTTTCGCTCATAACATCATCATAGATGAAGCTCATGAGATAAAACATCAGGTTAAGCTTAACCACAAGTTAACCAGATTATTAATAAAAATTGAGCCTTAAAGTATCAGAATAAAAAAAATAAAGTATAAGTCTAATCACAAGTTAACCAGAAGATAAAAAATGCGGGCGTAATGCTTTAATGAAGCTTCCGAAAGCTACATAAATGATGCTCGATGGAGCATATAGATACGGTGTATTATGCTGTGTAAGGGCAAGAGACATGCGCCTGACACTTGGAAACTCATAGATCACAGATCGTGGATAAGCTTGTAATATTGCATCGATGTGCCGCGCGATGACCTAATGCCCTACATACATCTGCCTAGGTAAATCATGTTCTTCTGCAAATCAATTTGTAGCTTCATAACGTTTGTAGTTTTTCGCATTAATTTTGTTCTTATAAGATATTAAAAGATCGAAACAGGAAGTCACAATAATCGAAAGCTTGAATTTTAATCGTCGACAAATTAATATTCAATTTTGTTGAGAAAAAATGCACGTATGTAATACCTTGAAAGTACCCTGTGTACGACTGCGATATCTCATTATATAAGCGTGCGCCGAGGTCCTCTACTTAACATAGGCGAAAGTTGCTTCCTAAAGGAAATGTTTATCGTCATCGCGCGAACATTGTACCGTATCGCACCGAAAATACATCGCTCGCGTTCCGAGTTACGATGCGTGAAGGGAAATGGCCATTTTACTTGCGGTGACTTCGGCGTTTCTCTAGATCACGTCGCTTTTCCTCGCGGCACTAATGCATGCAGCTTGAAATCAATATTTCACGTCGTATCCGAGGTACATAGCGTATCTCGAAGGTGACCATAGCTCTCTTACCCTTATCTTGACATGTAGACTTAGGTGGTCAGCCAATTTAGTTAAATTTGCTCCAGCGAACGCGTTACAATTAGAGAAATATATAGATATAAGATATTGAATGTTTCTTCTTTCTCAAATAAGAATATATTTCCAATAATCTATCTCTTTACTTCCACTTTCATTTCACTTTTCCATTCCATTTGTGGATTTTTTATATATTTGATGAAATTCTCTGTTTCTTCCATAACGAACTTTTAAAAATATTTTACAAAAAGATTATAAATTAATATTTAAAATGATAAAATAAAAATAAACAAATGACGTAAATTTTTTGTATATAATCGATGAAATTCGCTTCTTCCAAAAGTAAAGTTTTTAAAAATATTTTAAAAAAAGATTAGCAATTAAGGAGGTTCTCGTGCTACTTTCTAGTCAATAGACAGTTTACTCATAATATTATGTAAAACAATTAAAATAATGGAATAAAAAGATTACTAACAATATCTTATGTCATTATACATAATTATTGTTAATTTTATATGTTACTAAATATTTTCAAAATGACAAAATAAAAGTTGTAAGATGCTCATTTGATGTATACGCATTGTTCATTTGACATATTATATATTCTAGCTTTTTTCATTGAAAAATATAAATTTCTTGTAAACTGTACGGTAAGTTTAAATAAAACTTTACGAGAACAAACTTAAGTACTTGCTTTATAATTATAACGATTTTTAAATTACTGTCTTATACGCAAGTGTCTCAATTTAAAAGAGAATAACTACAGAATAAGATTATACCTTCAACTTGTAATGTAAAATTCTATAAATATAGAATTAAATATCTTCAAATTGATATTATTAACTTTTGTATTACATGTATATTATATTATTGTCTTATATTTCATCAAATGCGAGAATCTCCTTAATATGAAAACAAAAATAAATAAAAAAAATGATAATGTATACGATTCATAAATAAAAATTTTGAACTACAAATTTATTTCTTAAAATCTAGTATTTTCATCAAATTTGTGAATAGTATTGTATTAGGTGTTAAACTTAATTCCTGCCGTTTTTCGTCTCCAAAATTGATTTGTTTCGAAGAGAAATACCTTAATCAAAGTATTAATAAAGTATTATTAATTAGTAATAAAGTAGAAAATGGAGGAAAATACTTTGATTAAGGTATTCATTCATTTTCCCTTCGAAACAAATTAATTTTGGAGACGAAAAACGGCAGGAATTAAGTTTAACACTTAACAGATAAATAAAATATGTAAAGTTTCTCATATTTTGTGATAGTTTCACCTTACTATTTTTACATGTAGAATATTTTAAGAAATTTAAGAAGAAACATAGTATAAAAATATAAAAGAGAATAAATGGATTACCTTTCAATATGTAAATATCTCTTCAATATGTAAATACATTTTTTCCATATATTTTAACATATTTTGATAACTACATATTATTCTATAAACTGCTAGAAGAGTGGGCAGGAAGGTATATATGAGCGCGTGGTATTCGTCCTTGCATCTCTCGAGTTGCATGACGACCTTGGTTTTAATCTCAAACCACAGATATACATCCCACTCATGACTGCATCTTTTTCTCGCTTCTTCTTCTTCTTCTTCTTCTTCTTCTCCTCTCTCTCTCTCTCTCTCTCTCTCTCTCTCTGTCTCTTCTTCTGTCTTTCTTTATTTTTAACATATTTCATTTTGCAATCTAAATTTCATGCCATACAGAATACCTATATCGTCGGACCCACCGATTCCTTTAAAGAGAGTCGGGGCCGTGTTGTTTTTTCAGGTTACGGCAAAACCCACAAAGATGCTGCCAGTGTTCGCACAACGTACCCGATACCGGCCGCCTGCGGCCTGTATTACTTCGAGGTGAAGATCGTAAGCAAGGGACGTGATGGTTACATGGGCATCGGTCTCTCAGCCTCCGGTGTCAACGTAAATAGACTTCCTGGTTGGGATAAACATTCATATGGTTACCACGGCGATGACGGACACAGTTTCTGCTCAAGTGGCACTGGACAACCCTACGGACCGACTTTCACCACCGGCGACGTGATCGGTTGCGGTGTAAATCTCGTTGACAACACCGCCTTCTACACAAAGAATGGCCATCATTTGGGCATCGCCTTCACGGACCTTCCTGTAAGCCACTCACCGTATTAATAATGCAAAAAAATAGTTTTGTTTCTTGAAAAGAACAAATGTAAAAGAAGCAGAGAAGGAGGAATCAAAGATCTCAAATCCCATAGGAACAGAGGCAATTAGTCTTTGGACCTTTCATTCCTTATGAATTCAGTTATATATAATGCATCAATCTTCTTCTTCTCTTTTTATATCTTTTATTCACATATAGAAAGAAAACTTATATATTATTTATCATTAAATTATTTGATAAATTTCACAAATACGCAAATTATTTCATAATAAAAAATATAGATTTTAATTCTGATTGGTATTTGTTCCAAAATTTCCTAACTGATGTTTGCGGATGCGGTGTACTTTAAATTAATGTATCTTTGCTTAAAATTAATATAATTGAACAATTATTGTTATGTTGAAGGTCAAAATCCGAGAAATAAGACTATGTAATTTAAAATTATATAAGGTTGTAAAAAAACACATTTGTCAAGAACAATTTTTTACAACGTAATTGAAGAAAATGTCCGAGTCCACTGGATCCAAGAATATTGATTAGTAGTAACTTACTTTAACATGGCTAAAGTGCCGAGATTTATTTATTACGTATTATTCGTGTATTAGATATGATGAAGCGAAATTCTATTAAAACTTCACTTTCACAGCCCAATCTCTTTCCGACGGTCGGTCTGCAGACTCCAGGCGAGGTGGTGGATGCAAACTTTGGACAATTGCCGTTTGTCTTCGACATCGGGGACATGATCAACGAACTGCGCGTACGGACGAGATTACAGATCATAAACTATCCCATGCCAGACCACGGTCAGGGGCAGTGGCAGACGACTCTTCACAGGTACATATACGACCAGAAAACGAGACGGGGACAGGGTGCGTGATTCCACTCCCTTCGTGGTTGCTTTTGCTCCTCCTTCGTTTGTCATTGTTGTCCGTTAAGATCCTCCTTGATTTGCGAGAGTTCTTCCCAAATGCTTGCGCGGATAAATCGAGGAAGTTAGCGGGAAAAAGTCGCCACGGACCAATGTTCGCGATATCTCTCGAGAGTTAACGAAGCTCTGTACGAATTCGACAGAATGGTGTGTACGTATCTCGTCCATCATGGGTATCTCGACAGCGCCGAGGCATTCGCCAGCAGCACGGGTCAGGTGTTCGGAGAGGATTACACCTCTATCAAAAATCGACAGAGTAGGTGTTGCAATCTCGTCGCTCATTTGGAATTGTCACTCCTCCGAAAAGAAAATCTGTGAAAGAGAATAATAAATAAATATTTAAAAAGTTACAAATATACAATTTATCTAAATATCACACTTTAAAATTTGAGGAAGTGACAATTCTGTTTTTGTCCAGTTATTAAATTTGTATTTTATCTTTACATTGTGATTCACTGATCCACAGGGGTTATAAAGCTGGTACAGTCTGGTCGCATCAGCGAAGCGATAGACGTGACCAATCGGTTATATCCTGGTCTTCTTGATCGGGACCCGAACCTGCTGTTCGCGCTCAAGTGCCGTCAGTTCGTAGAAATGGTGAACGGCAACGATTCGGATGTTTGTCAGAATGGCAACCCCAATCAGACCAGTGTGATACAATCGACCAAAGCGTACGTGAAGTCCGCAAATCCGACCGGTACCGTGGAAGAGATGAATATCAATAATACGATAAATGGCACCAGCCCACAGTTCGTCAACGGTCAGATAGAAGATGATGTAGACATGGAGGAGAGCAGCGTCACTGGTGTAAATGGTATCAAGAACAGTAACGGGTATCAGAATGGTAATCTGGACTCGAATGGGTACAAGTGTCAAAATGGGGAGGATGTAGATATGGGTGAGATCTCAATGTAATTGATATCGCGAATAGATAAATAGATCATCTTTTAGATAAAGTGTTTCAATCGATCATATTAGGAATTATTGTATATAATAAATAAATAAAACTAACGAGCGGAATAATAAAGTAAAATGATAAATGTAACGATTGTCGAATAGTGCGTAATTATGGTTTTTCATAAATTGTCTAATGTCCTATATAAATTATCCAATTATATAAATGTTCTTTATTAACTATCTAATATATGTTCTATATTTATGTATTGTCGAGTTATGTTTAGAATGTCGAGTAGATTGTAGTATTTAGGACGGATAAACATTGTTTCACTTATAATTGTTCATTATTGTTTGCAGAAATCGACAACAGTGCCAATCAGAGTCAACAGCAGAGCAGTAACATCGCGGATACTGTGACGTGTAGCAAAAGTAACAAGAAGCAGTTGTGCGGTGGTAACAAGCAGACGATTGAGAAAATGTTGGAATTCGGCAAACAATTGTATACACAGTCGGTGAACCTGAGACAGCAGTTCGGAAAGAACGAGAGCAATAAGAAGATGTTGCAAGATGCTTTCAGTCTGTTAGCATACTCCAATCCGTGGAATTCACCGGTTGGCTGGCAATTGAAACCTCAGGAAAGAGAAACGGTTTGCGCGAGATTGAATTCTGCTATTCTTGGTAAGAAACCAAGCATGTAAAATGACAAAAAATAATGGCATGTTTAATAATTGAACCAAATTGCTCTGCGTGAAGGAATAAAATTAGATTGCTCATACGTTTGTTAACGTTAATTGATGATTTTATCTTATTATTTATTTATATAATTGTTACATCTTTTTAAATTCTATTTTATTGCTTACGATTACGAGCAATGGAATTCGAGCAAATAGAAAATTAATCATCTTGGAATTCTGATTTGTTAATGTAATATTAACAAATGTGATTGTCAATCTAACGTTACGATTGTCATGCTCAACAGAATCTATTAACTTAGCCCGTCATCCGCCATTGGAAGTCGCAGCATCTCATGCTAGAGAACTTATCCGCGTGATGGCGATGAATGGCTTAGGGGCCTGCGGATTTGCATTTGTAGATAATATTATCCAATATTGACGGTGCCTACCTCTGCTGCTACGTCCGCTTCTTCTATCAGTGCGAGTGTGGTGAGTAATATTCTTTTGTATTTACGCGAACAAGAATCGCGAAATCACCCGGATTGGCTCACCGAGAAATACACGCTTGTATATTTATTTCTGTGAGAGTAAATATGTACGAGTGATTGATAATCGGATATAAATAATCGGTTTTATCTAAAGAAGAGAAAAAATAACGCAAGTTTCTCGACGCGTTAATGAGACTTAGCTTGAGTATAAAAAAAAATACGATTATGTTGTGAATAATCTTTTGAAATGATTTTATATAAAATAAAATATTTAAGAAGTGTAAAAGAAACTTTTTTCTGTATGGCGAATAAAATGTTTAAGAAGTGAACTCTCTTCTAGGTAAATAACGCGGATTTTCCTTTTTATCTAGGTATGGAAACTCCATACAAAGAAAAATTAAGGTAGGAAGTGCTCTGTGCGCTAGTTTGAAAATCGTTTCGGTTTCGGGCGGCTCCATCTTTATTATAGTATTGAACTATATCTTTCGTATCTCTGATATGCATGCGGATCTTCCCGATCGCAATAAACACTGAGAGAAGGAATCTTGTAGGATGCAGAGGCGGAACGTGGAGCAGATTGTTCTGTTAACGCAGCAACATCGCGATGTCGCGTGCCTCTTCAGCTAGAGCAGCCGGATTCGTCGGTGCCTTGGCTCGATCTCACACCACAGACACGAACATACAAGGTGAACGCTCAGACCTGCCAGCCAAAATGACACCTCATGAATTTTTAGCTTAAATTGGGTGGACGGTCACTTTGGATAACTACCACGACGACCAAGAACGAGAAGCGGCAGTTCACGATGGGTGATCCCCCGTTCCCGGTGGCCGATCGCACATGTACCGTGGTCGACCATGTCACCATGTTTTTGACATTGTTGTGATTATTTATATGATTTTCTGTATCCCTTTACTTTTTTTCTCCCCCTTTTTACTTTTTTTTGTTTTTGTATCCGACGCCAGTTTATCTTCATTTGCGATCTACTCAGATGTTAAATTGCGACTAGCGCGTTACCTGGATGTTACGCGCAGCGGTGTCAGAACGAATGTCTCATAGTTATCTAAATCACGATAACTCGCGCATCGTTAGTTAGTAGCCGCAAGCATTGTGCAATATGACGACACGATAGTAAAATAACCGTTGTCGGAAGCAAAAATCATTTCATGCAAAGGTGATGCTTCTATGAGGCTACTGTTCGTATCGTCATACCGTCGAGATTCTCGCGTTAATTCGTGTAGAATGCGGCACATCGGAGGATAACGTGTAATCAAATTTATTTGCATTTAAGCGCGAGTTGTATCAAGTGTATTCAACAATAGGAAATCAATCAAACATCCAAATTTGATTAGATGTAGCCAAAATTTTCACTGATGGTTACGGAGGGGAGGGGTAATAAATGACGTACTGTTATACATTGCGCTTTGTTTACTTCGAAAAAAAAAAAGAAAAAAGAAAATTCATTGCACGAACCGAACTAATCTTTCGCAGATGTTAACGATTCTACTTAATTTTCATATAACGCACTCTTAACGAAAGAAAATACCTTTTTTCCTTGATATTATTTTGACGAGATATTTCGGCGCGAAGATTGCTCTTCGTATCTTGATTTTCGCAATTCTGGGAGCGGCGGAAGCATGTTCATTTTAGAGATGGATGACGTCTTACGTTTATATAAATAGTTGCGAAAAACAAAAAATCTGTAAACTTAACTAAGGAACGATCTTGTACTCTATATTAAGTAATTGTTTTTTATATGCGACATAGTATATTATTATATTATATATATTATTAAAGAAAAAAAAGAAAGAATCACAAATAAGAAAATCATATGCAGCTAGGCGTAAGCGTGCGTTTAAATACAATAATTTACTATATATACAAAAAAAATCATATTAATTAAAATTAAAATAGAATTACTCGAATTAAATAATTTTTAGTGTTATTGTTTTATGTACTATAGATAGAGCTATAATATGAATATGTGCGAATACAGCAATGATTTGGCCAAGATGGTTTATAAGTCATTTTGTTTTCATCGCACATGTTGTTGTTATCGCGATTATCCCGTCAGGATCTTCGTGTAAATTCACCTAAAACCTATTGTACAAGCCGATCGAAAATTAATTTTGGGACTGATCATCATTGTTATTTCGATTTGTTAGAGCACATAATTTTGCACATCATTTTGTTATGCGACCGGCGATACATTTGACGACGAACCTGCTCATTCTTGTATCGGACTATTCATCGAGACCTGCTCAGTAGGATCGCCGACGTCCTTGTCCCTGGATACTTTCGTTCACCACCTCTCCAATCATTGGTTCCCGAATGTCGTTTTGCCCCTTACCTGCCTTTCTAAGTCTTTCGAGGATATTTTCAAAGTGCATATATTTTAGGTAATAAAGAAACATTGTAATATATATATATATATATATACATACATATATGTGCCTATTTAACGTAACTTTCTTTTTGTTCTCGCTTGATTAACATTTCACGCGAACACGTGCATTTATGCGTAATAATACGTTTCACATGCATGGGGTCGCACCGCTTTTCGTTTTTCCTCTGAAGATCGTCAGCCTGGTGCACCAGAAAGGGCTGTCATGGATGTCGCGCCGTATTCCTATATCACGCACGTCCGCGATGAGAAGCACGGGGAAATGAATGGTTCCCTCTTATCCATAATGAGAGGACAATGCATATTGTGTGTGTAGGGTATGCACCAATCACGTCGTTCATGTTGAAAGGTAGTAAATGTTCACTCGGATGTTCCTCGAGGTCTTCTCTCACTCAAGCGACTCCTGCACGAGATGTAGCTATAGCGTTGTACAACAGTGGTGACGTTAAATAGGGAAACAGCAACACAACTTTCTCGCTTTTATCTTTAACTTTTGAAGGGACTACTCGCACCTTAAATGCAATTTCGCACACGCACGCGCGTGTATACTCCAAGGGATAACGTCGGCGGCAATCCAGCTGTTTCCAGGCTTTCGTAGAGCGCGAAGATGATACCGTAATGATGATTAATTTTCACCGATTAACTCTTATCCGGGAGATCCATTTTCTAAAAGCAAACGGGTAAACGTATATTTTTTCTCTCTAAGAGTCTCGTATAAAACTTACACGTATATAAATATATTTATCTTTATATAATCAAAGATTACATGTATAAAACTTATGGAGTTAGGGAATATATTTTAGGAGGTAACTTTAAATTTCGAGGAATTGAGAGCTTGCCCGGATACGTGTTAAATGCTGTTCAATTAATTGAAATAAGCACAAAGTATTGTAATGTGAATGCGCGACAATACTTTGCATAAAAAAAAAAGAAAAAGTCCCACACTATACATGTTTTACGATACTCAATCATGTACGTGCGCACGTGCGTGTGCGTACACAGTAAAAATATATATATATA